GGTCTTGGGACTAGATGCCAAACTTGAATTCTCTCGAACTGATTGAGTTCATCTTGCATTTCATTCACCCAATCTGCAACTTACAAAGCCTCAACAATATTTTTAGGTTCAATAAGAGATAAGAAGGCATCAAAAGCACACAGATTCTTTAATTGTGATATAGTTTTGACTCCAAATGTTGGATCAGTGATTATGTTCTCAATAAGATGAGAACTTTGATACTTGTGAGATTTCACAACCAACTGATTTCTGCTAGATGTTTCTTCCATGTTCTGTTGCTGAGGCATAGGGTCATGAACAAGTTCTTTTAGGTGATTGGTTTCAATTCCTCTTTGATCAATTCCCCCTGTTATGTTGCCCTGGATGGACGAACCTATTCCATCACATGTTCCTTCTTTTGGTGCCACTTTAACTTGAAATGAGACTTCAGTCAAATCCTTTACCAGACCAATGGCTTCATCTTCATGTTCCTGTCTCTTAGAAAGAATGTTAGTTTCATCAAACACTACATGCACACTTTCTTCTACACACAAAGTTTTTTTATGGAACACTTTATATGTTTTGATATGTGAAGAATATCCCAAGAATACTCCCTCATCACTTATGGGATCAAACTTATCTAGGGAGTCCTTTCTATTACTGTGCACAAAGCACTTGCATCCAAATGTCCTAAGATAGGATATATTTAGTTTTCTCCCTTTAAGTAACTCATAGGGAGTCTTCTCTACAAGAGGTCTAGTCATGCATCTATTGATAATATTTCATGCAGTGTTTACAGTCTCAGCCTAGAAGCTATGGAGCAGTTCACTAGAAAGAAACATAGTTCTAGCCATGTCTTCAAGGGTCTTATTCTTTCTTTCAACTACTCCATTTTGTTGAGGAGTCCTAGGGGTAGAGATGTTATGATCTATACCATGCTCATCACAAAATTCAGCAAACTTAGCATTTTCAAATTCAGTTCCATGATCAGACCTAATGGATACAAGTTGATTACCTAGTTGTTTCTAAGTCTTTCTAACAAAAGCAGTAAACATGTCAAATGCTTCATCTTTGGATGTTAAGAATAGTACCCAGGTAAATCTAGAATAATCATCAACAAGAACTATCACGTATTTCTTACCACCTCTGCTCAATGTTCTCATTGGACCATAGAGATCCATATGAACCAGTTCCAACGTCTTGGTTGTGCTTACCATTTTCTTGCTTTTAGAGGATGATCTTACATGCTTCCCCCTTGCACAGGCCTCACAAATTTTGTCTTCCTTGAACTTGATGTTAGGTAGCCCTATCACCAAGTCCTTGGAGACTAATTTGTTGAGTTGATTTAGACTAGCATGACCAAGTCTTTTGTGCCACAGTAGGGAATCATTATCCAACACACTTAAGCAAGTGAGTTCATTTTCTGAAAGAGTGAACAAATCTACAATGTAAATATTGTTAACTCTTTTTTCCTACAAAACAATATTTACAGTGGTAAGGTTAATTACAAAGCATTTGGCAGAGGTGAATGCTATAAGGTTACCTCTATCACACAGTTGTGACACACTGATTAAGCTATATTTCAAGACATCTATCAAGTAGACATTCTCAATGGAATATGAGTCTGTCTTACCTACCTTTCCAACCCCAATAATCTCACCTTTCTTCCCATTTCCAAAGGAGACATTACCTCCTTTTAAGTCCTCAAGTGAAAGGAATTGGTTCTTGCTTCCAGTCATGTGCTTTGAGCAGCCACTATCCATGTACCATATTTGGTTGTTTCCCTTCACTTGGACCTGCAAAAGGAAATTAAGGGTTAGTCTTAGGAACCCAAACTAGTTTGGGTCCCTTTCTATAGGCAATAAATCAAATTCCTTTTAGCCCACCCAGGTAGCCTATTTTTCTCTTGAACAAAAGCTTTGTTCTTTTGACTGGCCTTTTCTTTTGCATTACATTCATTTTTGTAATGGCCAGTCTTGCCACAGTGTGTGCAAATTTTGTTCTTAGGAAGTGTGAGGTACTTGCTTTTAGGGTTCCACTTAGGTGATTGAGTCCCATAGCCAAGTCCTCTTTTGTTTCTACTGTGATGTTCTTGTAGCCAAGAAAGTACATCAGAAGCCTTATTCCATTTGCAAGTTCTATCTAGTTCATGTTTTACCTTCCTTAGGTCTTCTTTTAAGACTCTTATCTGCTCATCCTTCCTGTACAACTCATCCTTCATTTTTTCTAAGTTTTCTTCTAGGGCAAGATGTGTGCGATCAGCTTTCTTTTTACCTGTTCCTAGTTTCAGCTTTAAGTTTTCAAACCTAAGTTCTAAGACACCGGTGTCAAGTTCAAGAACCTGGTTCTTCAACTCAGCATTTTTACTATCACTCTCACTAGCCCTAGATTCTAGATTTTTGCACTTGGCTTTTAAGATCACACACTCCCTAGACAGATCTTCCTTCTCATTGTTAATTACCTCAGACTCATCAATGATGTCTAGCAATAGCTCAGACAACCCTTTTTTAGACAGGAATTTAATCTTGTCTTTGAGGTGAAGGACATTTACCTCGTGTTCATCATCTGATTCTCCGATGGCCATAAGTGCTTGTTCATCTCCAGCTTCATCTTCTAAGTCCTTATCTGATGTTTCTCCCCAAGCAGCAACCATAGCATTTGTTGAACCTTTGTTTCTTTTGGGTTGAACTTGTTCCTTCTTCATGTTCCTTCGTTCAGCCTTTTCCTTCTTCCATTCAATTTCCCATTGAGGATAGTTCTTGATCATGTGATTAGTCTTACCACATTTGTAGCAACCCTCGTTGGTCTATTTCTCAAGAGCCCTTGGTTTGTTGAAGGTTGTACCTCTAGAAGAACCCTTTCCTCTCATCAAGTACTTTTTGAAGTCTCTTGTGATCATGGCCATTTCATCGTCCTCCAGATCTGCTCCTTCAGCTATTCTGAGAGCCAAATTTCTTTCCTTCGTTGGTGCATACATTTTCATGGTTTGCCTTCTCAGTTTATAGGCAGTAAGGTTTCCAATCAGTTCATCCAGCTTGAGGGTAGCAATGTTCTTAGATTCCTGAATAGCAGTAATTTTGCTTTCCCAAGTCACTAGTAAGACTCTTGTCAAGATTTTCTCAACCTTGTCTTCTTCGAGGATAATTCTCCAAGGAGATTTAAGTTCATTGGTTAGTGTTGTGAACCTTGTGTACATCTCCTGAATAGATTCTCCTTCTTTTATAGTGAAATTCTCATATTGAGAATATAGCAGTGTTCCTCTTAATCTCTTTACTTGAGGAGTTCTTTCATGGGCTACTTGTAAGGTGTCCCATATTTCCTTGGCAATGGTATAACTTTGAATCCTGTTGTACTCGTTTGGACCCAGTCCACACACAAGCCATTTCTTGGCCTTGGCATTCTTCTCCCATTTCTTCAAGTCTTTAGCAGTGCAATCAGCTCTTGTCTTTGGCATATCCACTCCTTCAGCATTCTTCTTTGTAGTTTCCAGGGGAACATCAGTGACTATGTCCCAAAGTTCATAGTCTTCTCCTATGATGTGATCTCTCATCCTGTTCTTCCACCAAGAATAGTACTGACCATTAAAGAGTGAAAGCCTAGCAGTGGATTGCCCTTCCTAGTTTCTAGGTGGTGCACTCATTTTGTTCTTTTCCTAAGGTGTTAGCCTCTTCAAGGATAACCCGCTTTGATACCAATTGATATTTTAAGCGTCAATACCACACAAGAGAGGGGAAGAGGATTTGTGTGGCACCCAATTTTCACTTAACTGAACTATAGAAGAACCTGGTTCTTCTAGGTGTTCCAACTACTACTATTTGCGGAATAATAAATATAGAAAATAAAGAACACAACAATTTTACGTGAAAAACACCTGACTCAAAAGGTGAAAAAAATCACGACCTACTACTTAGTAGGATTTTCCCAAACTTCCACTAAAATCACTGAGCCAAAACAGCATTTACAAAAACTCTTTGTAAACCTAAGGATTAACTCTAATCCCGTTGTGGCACACAGCCTCAACTGTTGCGACAACTTCAAGTTAGATATAACTTGAACACTCTAGGTACCTAATACAATTGCTTCTATGAAAGCTGAAAGGTACAATGTTAAATCACCTACTACAATTGAACTAGAATAAAAGGTAGACACAATGGAACTGGTCCTTCAATCTCGTTCAAGTAGCTTCAGGATTGCACACTCAAATCACACATAAATTGCTTACAAAATCGCCTTACTCTTTTGCTCTCATTTTAAGTTTAACTTCTACTTATGTGCACTACCTGTAAAAGAGAACAACACTGACATTAATAGATTAGTAATCAGGGTTTGAGTGAGATTCAATTGCTACTCTTCTATCGTAGTAGAGTTCATGATGATCTCAAACTCTAACGTTATCTTCATCCTAAACTGCGTTCTCTTCATGTAAGGAGTCTTTCTCTCCTTATCCAATATGCAACCTTTTCGATCAGATCAAGAGATATTGCAGCTTGATTAGTTAGACTTATCTCTTTCACGTGCATCTCACATGTACAAGCTGATCATGACTATGCTTCACAAGATGGACATGGTCCATGTCTGAGTTCTTTTGTCAGTCTTCAAAACATCACCTGTTCTTGGGCCAACAGCAGTGAAATTGAGGATAGAATTAGATAAAATAATGGGGACATCAACCATGAATTTCAGTTGTGAAATTCGGGAGTCAGGAAGAGAACCAGAAGAAATAAAGCTAACATGAAATGTGTAGAGAACTCAAAAAGCCATTCTTTAAAAGAACTAATTGTTCTAGAATTATGTTGGGAGAAGCACCGGAAGAGCAAGTACAAGAAAGCATTTTTATAATTGAGAGAAATGTCAAATTTGCCCTTGGTCGACCACACTTAGCTCTTCTTTTCTCCTCTTTAGAAGAGAAAGAGTTTCGACATGTGTGTTTCATGTCATTTTTAAAAAGCTCAAGGGTATATTAGTAATTTCGCCTAAATTCTTACAATCAGCATATAGTACGTGTCTAGGTTTGTCTATACAAACTCTACGCGTAAGTAATAGATGGCTCAACGTGTATTTTTAGCAGACAACATAATCAAGTTATCCTTTAATTTTGAGAGTGATTCTCACATCTTCTTCCTGATTCTCTTCGCTCACAAATCTAGGTACAAGTATGCTTTCAACAAATTTTGCATTTCCTTCATTCTTTTTCCATTTTGGGTTTTCTTCATCATTGTTAGTTTTGATTCTGAAGTTCAGTGATTGTTGTAGGTTCTTTTCTGATTTTCCCCAAATACTTTTTTTATTCTTTTAATTTCTGCCCTATTTTCTTTTGGGTTCTCTGCATGATTTTTAACTTTTCAATCTTATGGCAAGTATGTGTTAAATTCAATGGTAAAACTGTATTTTTAAACTCTAAGCATGCTTAGTATTGAACTTCGGTGGTTTTCTATGTACTTTTTTTATTTTGCAATTTCATGGCTGATGTATGCTAAATCGAAGGCTGCCATATTGTAACACCAAGCATATTAGTTTTTCTACTTCCTTGGCTGCTCCATTTGTTATTATCCATGAAGTGTTGCATGTAGGTAACTTCTTCCACTTTAAATTATTATTAAAACTTTTGGGATTTTAACCTAATTTTTGAAATTGGAATTTTAAGAACTTTGATCTAATAGATGTACCAAACAATTGAGAGTGTTGAAGTTCACACATGAATATGGACGATTGAGTCTGAAACCTCTTCTCTAGCGAGATTAGATTCCAACATAATCGTCGGTAATAATATCTTTCAATTTTCTTTCTTTTTCATATATATATATATAGAGAGAGAGAGAGAGATTCTTCAGTTCTCTCTTAGCAAATCATAATTACTTCCAATTTTGAGTTTTTTCCCTTCTTTGGTAGTTTACGAACTTTGATATTTGTTTGAGAAAAAATGGGACTTGGAGAAAGACGAGTATGGTAATTTAGGGATTTCAATATTTGTTTGGTGTAATTTTAGGTGTAATTTCAAATTTCTCCTCTTTAGTGCAGTTTGTCTGTAACCCTCAATTGTAGTATTCACTTTAGGTGAGTTTTGTTTCTTCTTTCTTATTTTTTTTGCACTCATTTTTTGGTGATGAAAATATAATGGGTATATATTAGTTATGTTATTATTAAGAGGATCGCATAAGAGAAAAATAATAGAAATTTATTTACTGAAGCAGAGAAGATAACCTTTAAATTGCTTCTTCGCCGGGGATGGCAACAACTCCGCTGAGTTTGGTTATTTGTATTTCTATTTTCTTTGTATGCCTTTATGAAATTCGAACATGGTCCATGCTTATTATTCAAAATATTATTATAGCTTTGCATTTGCAAACAATAGTTTTCTCAATTATACCCTAGATTTAAAAAAAAATCACCAATTATGGCGAACCTCCTGGTACAGGGATCATTACCCATATCCTGGCCATTAGAATGTACCATAAAAGACATTCTAAGAGTTTCGACATGCTTGCTTATGGGTAATTTAAGATTTGTTTGAGGGTATATTAGACTTTTGAGCTTATCTGTATACGTGGCTTTTCTATATCTACCCAACTACTACGTGTAGCGTTTACGTTATTACAGAGTTGGGTTTTACTCGATTTGTGTACATCACAATTTACAGAGCTTCAGATATCTTCGTCTTCCTCATCTCTTCAACTTGTGCAGGTGCTTTTCTTATTACTTAATATAAATTTTATTGTTTTCTATCTCTTTCTCCTTCTTTTTTGTTTCAAATTCGTTAGAACAGAGTGAATTAATTACAGATTTTCGAGTTAGGGTTTGATGGATGAAATTAGGATTTTTTTTCCGGAGATGAATTGAAATCAAAAAAACAAATTCTGTTTGTTAGACTATAGAAATCAGTTGATTTTTTGTGTCTGCAAAGTACAAGAATGGATACGCTTCTCTGTGATGAACTTCTTCAAGAAATATTTCGGCGCCTCCCTTCGCTTCCGTTTCTTTCTTCACTTTCTCAGTTTACTGTCTCTATTACAATCTCAGCCATCGTAGATTCCTCCGATCATTTACTGTTTTCAATCTCTTCATCTTGTCCTAATCTTAAGTACCTGTGTGTGTGTGTGCATTTGTGCATGTGCTGGTGCACATAGGAACCAGTGATGTATTTGTACGATGATAGCAACATGGTTTTCTTTCAATCTCTTCCCAGTTTTGTTCTCCTTTTTTACTCATTTTTTTTCTTTTTATGTGTTTGTTGGGTTCGTTCCATGCTTCTCAATTTCATAGCCAGTGGCCTGGTGTCGAACTCTACTAATGAATATTTGCATCTTGTGATGCATAAAAAATTAGTTAATTTGTATCATAAGTTTGAATCGGTGGTCTTATGTTTTATAAAATGAGTATTCTTTATTAATTGCTGCTTCAAGTCTATTTATTTTGTTATCATCTGTTGTGTTCGATGTTCTTTGATGCTATGTAGCTACTGGTCAAATTAGACTATGATGCTATGTCATGTGCTTTTCTATGAACTGATGACAGTTTAAATAGACTATTAAAGACAAATATTAATATAAATTTTACCTTTGAAGTAGTTCAGTTCATGTTAAAATATGCATCTTCTTCTGGTTTAAGAAATTCATTACTCATTTGCCTTTGCAGTATAAATAATGGAATTAAGAACTTGTAGAGCAGTTGTTGCTGGGATTTTGTTAAAATTGGTGGCAGTAAAGAGGGGTTGCTTCATTTCTTGAGTCAAAGCCAATGTTGTATTAATTTACAGAAGCTTGATTTAAGATTGCTTTTTGATGTTGATAATAGTCATTTGATAGGTGCTGCTGAAAATTTAAGGAGTTTGAGGAGTTTAAGATTATAATTAGAGTGGAATTACTTAAACATGAATGATTTTGTTTTTGTTTGAATTATTTCTCAGGAAACTTCAAAGCTAATATTAGTTTTTGTTATTTATTTCTGTCTCATTATTAGAATGGAAAAGCTTTTCCTTTGGATTGTAATTCTATGTGCTTCTAGCTATGTCATTCATCACATATATATTGAATGAATTGTTTTTGGTTTCAAAGTTATTTTGATAGGTCTATGGATTGGTGGACTTATGTTTTATAAAATGAGTATTCTTTATTAATTACTGCTTCAAGTCTATTTATTTTGTTACTATATGTATACAAAGTTTAATATGAGACCTCTATTTGTTCTTTGCTTTTTCGGCTCTGTTGTGCATGACAATTTATTCTCTTTGTCATTGCAGTTCTTGTGATCTATTGTGGCTACGTTCTACTTTTGTTATGCAGTAGCACTTAAACCAGAAGGTAAATTTTCTAATCTCTGTTTATCTATTTATAGATATTGTACGTTTTTACGTGGGGTTTTCTAAAAAATGTAAGCGTACATACTATGTGCAGCTTTTGGGCTATTCCATATGTGGATTTTTTTACATTCGGTAATGTAAATATGTACGTGACATTTCCCATTTAGGAAGTAGACGAGTGAAATGTCGAGTAAAAACCATAAAATTGACAACTCGAAAAAAATACATGTTGACAAGAAGACTAGGCAACACAAATTATACAGAATGATGCAAGACGATAAAAGGAGGCTCTCCTAGCGCGAGCACGAGCAAATAAAGCTGAAACAAGCGGCCGGTAACATCCTGCTTGATCGCTAATTAAGAGCTCCGCTAACGCATCATTTTCTATAGGTGCTAATATTTCAAGCGAGCAATATCTTCCTTTTGTGGGACATTCAATATATGAAACAGGTTAGAGAGCTAAATTGTCATTTTTTGATGGTACATGCAATTATAAATACATGTATGCATTTATAACTATTAAATTATATGCTTACACTTATTATTGTTGTATCTTAGGATCTACATCTAATACAAATCATGAACAATATATTAAAGAGACAACAACAATCCAAACATCAACTGATTATGTTATGTTAAACACAATTCCAAAATGCAAATTTTGCGGAGCCAAAAAATTTGAATACAAACCACCGGCATTCTGTTGTCGTAAAGGCACTGTTAAGCTAATTTCACATCAAGTACCACAAGAGTTAAGAAATTTATATTTAGGAAATACTGAAGAATCAAAGCATTTTCGAACCTACATAAGAACATACAATAATATATTTGTGTCCACATCTCTGGGAGTAAGCTATGACAAAGAGTTGGCAAAGAGGAATAAAGGTATTTACACGTTTCGAGTTCAGGGACAAATGTATCATTTCATAAATGACTTGATACCAAGTAATGAAAAAGGAAAAAATCTTCAATTATATTTCTATGATAATAAAAATGAAGTGAGCAATCGAATGGCATGTTCCAATAAATTGAACGAGTGTACTGTGAAAAATTTAATGGAAATATTAAAAATCAATCCTTACTCTACGTTTTTGAAATCCTTAATAAATATCCCCCAATTATCAGATTTCTACATTGTGCTTAAGTGTGATGTTGGTCTAGATCAACGAATATACAATCTACCAACTACATCGGATGTGGAAGGAATATGGGTAGAACAAGATACCAATAATTGTATCCCTACTCAACATATCCGAATATATACAAAAAGTGATAGAAGCCAGCTGGTAAACTATTACTACGGATGTTATGACCCATTGTAATATCCATTATTGTTCCCCTACGAGCAAAATGGTTGGCATTGTGGTATTCGAAAACTTAAGCCTTCAGCTACCTCTTCTAGAACACATCTGTATTGTGAATACGAAGAATTGCCAAGTGTAACCAATATGACTTCAATTGATGGATTGCTTGACATGGAAGCTGAAGTGATGCAAAAAGGCAAACGAAAAAGAGATACCGTTTCTTACCGTGAATACTATTGTTATCAACTCAAAATTAGAGATGATGAAAATATAATCTTACATTTAGGAAGATTATTACAACAATATGTTGTAGCCGAATGGATAAAAGTTGAAACTCAAAGATTAGATTTCGCTTTTTTCAATCAAGACTTGTTCAGAATGGACGTATTAGCTGGACTTTTAGATCTTTTACGTCGCGGTGAGAGAGAAGGCTCACAAGTAGGTAAAAATAGAATACTTCCACTTAGCTTTACAGGAGGACCAAGAGATATGCATCGTCGATATATGGATGCTATTGCATTAGTACAACGTTTTGGAATACCCGATATATTTCTAACTATGACATGCAACCCTTGTTGGCCTGAAATTCAAGAAAACTTATTATCGACAGATAAGGCCCAAAATAGACCCGATTTAGTTAGCCGAATATTTCAAGCAAAACTAGAAGAACTTAAAAAAGATATACTAAAAAGACAAATATTTGGTAAAGTTGCTGCATTTATGTACACAATAGAATTCCAAAAACGGGGACTTCCGCATGCTCATTTTCTTATTATACTCGATGAAAAATACAAAATATTGACTCCAGAAGCGTATGATCAATTTGTTTGTGCTGAATTACCAGATCCTAAGAGAAACTCTGCTTTATTTAAGCTTGTTACACAACACATGCTACATGGTCCTTGCGGTCAATTAAACCCAGCAAGTCCCAGTATGAAGAAAAAAACGGTCAATGTAAATTCAAGTTTCCAAAAGAGTTTGCTGAACAGATAACTAAAGAAAAAATTTCATATCCTATTTATAGAAGACGAAACACGGGAAAATGTGTGGAGATTAGAGGATAATTTTTTGATAATTCATGGATTGTTTCCTACAATCCATTCTTACTTAGTAAATTTATTTGCCAATAAATGTGGAGATTTGCTATGATATTAAAGTTGTTAAGTACATTTACAAATATATTTGCAAAAGACATGATAAAATTGCATTTCACGTACATCCTAACGATGTGAACGTAGAAGTAGATGAAATAAAGGAATATCAATCTGCTAGATGGTGACACCACCTGAGGCTGCGTGGCGCATATTCGCTTTTCCTATCAGTGAAATGATTCCAAATGTATACCATCTTCAACTCCATCTTGATGGACAACAAATTGTTTCCTTCAAAAATACAAATAATATTAATAGAATCGTAAATAATCCTGTGATTAAAAAAACAATGTTAACTAAATTTTTCACAATGAAAAGCGAAAACGAAGATGCTATGAATTTGAATTTATTATATCGAGAATTTCCAGAACATTTTGTTTGGTCCACAACATACAAAATGTGGTCACGTCGCCAACAAGGATTTGCTATTGGTAGAGTTGTAACATGTCGTCCAACCGAAGGAGAAAGATACTTTCTTAGATTGCTCTTAATGAACGTAAGAGGACCAAAATCGTATAAAAATTTGCGAACTGTAAATGGAGTAACTTGTGACACATTTAGAGAAGCCGCCGAAAAAAGAGGATTATTACTTTGCGATAATAATTTAATAGAATGCATGTCAGAAGCAGTATGTTACCAAATGCCACACAGTTTAAGGCACTTATTTGCTATACTATTAGTTTATTGCAATCCCGTAAATCAAAGAGAGTTGTGGGAAAATTTGAATGCTTGATGTCTGAAGATTTCAAAAAATTCCCGAACATGCATACAAGAGAAATTCGTTACAAAGTGCTAAATCATATTAATGATATTCTTCACTCAATGGGTCGTGATATCAACGAATTTGAACTAACTCAAGGCAAAATCCAATCATCTCCAATAGCCAAAGAAGCTAAAGATGTACATTTTGAAAGGAATATTATCATTAATGAAGAAGATCTATATTACCATATAAACTAAACATTGAACAAAAAAGAGCTTATAATGCAATCCTTGATACGGTATTCTCAAATAAACTCGGAGCATTCTTCATTGATGGTACGGGCGGAACTGGAAAAAACTTTTTATATTTTGCCTTATTAGCTACAGTGAGACATATATATTTATAGCATTAGTGACTGCGAGTTCAGGTGTTGATGCTTCACTTCTTCCTAGAGGCCGAACTGCTCATTCCCGATTTAAAATACCTATTGTGACGACCCGGCCAGTCGTCTCATGAGTTACCGCTCCATTTCCCCCATTTTAGCTTCTTTACGCTTCATTATCCGTGTTTTATGGGATCGAGATGATTAGTTCAAGTTCGGAGAGGATTTGGTAAGAAATGAGACACTTAGTCCCTTTTAAGAAGGCTTAAGTTGGAAAAGTAAACCGGATGTTGACTTATGTGTTAGAGGGTTCGGATGTGAGTTCCGATGGTTCGGTTAGCTTCAGGAGGTGATTTTTGACTTGGGAGAGTGATCGGAAGTGATTTTGGAGGTACAGTGTAGAATTAGGCTTGAATTGGCGAAGTTAGTATTTTGGCGAATTCCGGTTGATAGGTGAGATTTTGATCCGAGGGTCGGAATGGAATTCCGAGAGTTTCTGTAACTTCGTTATGTCATTTTGGACTTGTCTGCAACATTTGAGGTCATTCGGACGTGGTTTGGTTGGGTTTTTGATCAAAAATGGAATTTGGAAGTTCTTGAGATTCATAGGCTTGAATTCGATGTGATTTGATGATTTTGGTGTTAGTCGAAGTGTTTTGATGATTGGAACGAGGTTGAATAATGTTTAGGATGCATTGGTTCTTTTGGTTGAGGTCCTGGGGGCCTCAGGTGAGTTTTGAGCGAGTACGGACACCCCGGAACTTAGAAAAATGGAGGGAGCAGCAGTTTTGGCGCGGACCGTGATCCTTTTCGCGCTGGCCTAGTGCTGGTCGCGTCAAAGTGGCCGCGGCCGCGGTCGTGAAGACTGCAAGTTGCTGGTCCTACTTCGGAAGCTCATATCTTTTGATCCACAAGGAATTTTGAGGTGATTCAAAAACGAAAGTTGTAGCCCTTCGTGTCTAGTTTCCAGAAAGGTAATTTGGATAGCTGTAGCGAAGGTTATGGCCAAAATACTAAAGCATGTCCCTGCAGAGCAAGACCTGCGCGACCGCGGTCGTTTTTGTGCGGACCCCGCTGGTTTTGCGCGGACCGCGGTCATTTTTGTGCGGTCAGCAGTGTCGGAATCC